AAACCAGCCTTTGGCGTTCTTAGAAATCACAGTTGCCAGGATGGTGAGGATGTAAGAAAGAAGTGACTGAGTTACGAACAAAAAATTTAATTTGTAGACAACTATCAATCAACCAGTTTTAGCAGAGAAACCAATTTTACTTAAATACTATAAAACTCGTGTGCTTTGATAATATTTGTGGCAAACTGTTTCCCCTCCGTGATTATCAAACTTTGAGCGGCAACGGCTCTCGGGCCACAGATAATGAATAATACAGAAAAACAACAGAAATCAAGGTAAAGTGAGTAAGGACGTTTGTTTTTCACAGCCGATGCGTACCACAATTTTGTAAATGGTGAACGTCTCCTTTTCGTACTGTAAGGCGGTGCGAAAGTCGCCTCGGCAAGACTGTATTCTCGCCAGAAGGTGGTAAGTCAAAGCGACCTTCAGGCTTTTCTTGCCGTAGTACAGCACCTGCAGCTTCAGCGCGTTTTCTAGAAACTTCAGCGACAGATCATACTCGTTGGCCGCATGAAGAATCAGTCCGATGTTGCTCTAAAACAAAACATCAGATGCATCGAATAACGTCGTTCACTGTCCTGCGGTCGTACGTCCAAAAGCGCAATTTGCGGATGATTTTCTCCGAAAACCAGCAACACGAGATACCTAGCTCGGTACAGAAGCTTCAAAGCCGTTGACAGTTGCAGATCAGCGAAACAGTAAAGCGCCAGGTGCATCTAAAAACACCAACGGGTACAGAACATATATCAATTTACGAGCTTTGAATTACATATTCGAGGATCGTCTGCGGGTGGTCGATCCCGTTGCAGCGTTCACTGATCAGCACCGCCTTGTGCTGCTGCGCCAATGCTTCCTGGTGATCACCCATGATGTAGGCGAGCCGCGCCAACAGTCGCAGACATTGAGCAATTTCCGGATGCACCGCGCCGTAGATGCTGGTTAACAGATTGTACGCTTCGTAAATCAGCTCATAGCCGGCTCGCAGATTTCCCTGCTGAATCTTTGCCTGACCCGTAGTGTAGAAGTTGTATGCGTCCGAAGCCTATAACAAACGCTCCCGTCTTATTAACATATACATCAAGGAGACATACCACGGAAAATATACACAGAACAGTAACTACGAAACGACTTCTTAAAGTCACCGCGGCATAGGAAACAGAAACGTATAACAGATGATGTGTTATCACCCGATCATATTTAGACTGGCGAGACTCGAAAGCGGCTGAAATCTACAGTAGGCAAAAACACTGAGAACAAAGACGTCGTTGACCATTCATGGTTTGTTGTCCCATTCCTGGAAAAAGCTGTCATGATTTTCACAAGAACGTCGTCAGTTGTCCAGTGACAAAGTCGTTTCATATCGCAGCCACTGAATTAGCTTTTGACATTTTCACGGGGTGGAGCCTAATTAGTCCCCTCATTAACGACGATTAAGCACTTAGTTTGTGCACTGAAGACCACACTGAAAACGGCACAAAATACGCTTAATTTAAACACAACGCAAACAATTTAGTCACTCAGACGACTGACAAGTTCAATGGTGTTCCGGCTATGACAGTGCAGCATTGACTTCCGTTTCTACGCCGTCAGTTAAGTGCCTTTTCTTTTTAAAGACAGAGTCTACAACCACGTAACTCCTGTTTCTTCCCTATAGAGTGATACTCATTTATTAAACTCGGACGTAAGAGCGAGTGACCCAGATCGGGGCTTGAACTCGGGAGCTATCGGCTGTGAGTTCGACGCTCTATCGACTGAGCAATCCCGGTCTCTGAAGCAATGTGTGGCAAATTAGTTGTTGAAAAGAGTGAGAAACGGAATGTTACACAAATAAGCCAACGAAGGACTTCTAGCAAAATCAAACTCAACACCTCCAGACCTCGAAGCAGACCCCTTAGACAGTGTCAACACACGACTACCTGTAGAATCAGCGCTGCCCCAGTTTCTACCAGAAACTTTTAGTTCGTTATGTGCATGCATGTGCTTTTCGACAACAGTAAAACGGTTGAACAATATCTCAAACGTCTCCGTTAAGGACGGTACGAATTAATACAGTAGAGAAAGAACGCTCCATCTTTTAGTCAGGGACCGAACCGTCTACGTTGATTGTCCCAAAATCGACATTTTATGGTGAGTTAAGAAAGCACTTTCCGTAATACGTTTTGTCATTGTATTAGGCAGCGGTAGAGCCGCATGGGTATACGGATCATTGCATCAATTCAACCGAACATTGTACATTTTGATACCAGAAGGAGAATACTGAGTCAACAAACAAACGAACGACTCTTCATCTACAATCATTAAGTAATCTGATGAAGTTTTTACTCGTCACGAATTACGCACAGCGAGATATCGAATAAACTGCGTGCAGTTCCGCATACAACTGATAATCGACTTTACTCTCAACACTGGTGAATCGTGATTATCTCTGAATTCCGTCCTACTGTCTCAGAATCTATCAATCACATAATAACGTCCTTCTAACACTGCCGGTCCTCAGTCACAGTCTGTAGTGCTTACAGAGGAATTAAGGTTGCTTTCAGCATCCTTTCGTGAATGTTTCTCGAACATGCGATGGGCTTTCTATGTTTCTCTTCCAAATCGATCCTGAGACATTATCTGGCATGATAAAATAAGTGCCACATTATCCGGAGATTTTCAATTCTTTCTCGTTCCGATGTGCTCTGCTATCACTATAAGATATGGTCTCACTATCTGGCAATTATCGCAATTCGATTCAAAACTATTGCATCTAACAGAAAAGGACTGCGAGCTGGCGCAGAAAGTGGGCCAATTTATCTGATAATGTGCTGTGTGCAATTCACGACAAGTAAAACCATCATACAACTTCGTTACACGAATTAAAGCAGCTACTCTAATGTGTTACTATCGGTAACTGTCATTACAGCTCGTAGACACAATACCATATTCCTCTCATCACAGGACTACAATGGCATTATGAACCCTACTGTATATCTTTATGATATAAACATAAATCGCCACCCCAATTCCTTTATCACCACTGGTCGAGTAACCGAGTCTTAGAAAGACTTATTTCAAGTCTTAATATGCTAGCCCTTTACTAGAGCCGCATCCGCGATTGATCTTCCAGGGCTCACAAGAAATTTGCTATTGCAATCAACGAAAACAATCAACCTGTATCAGCCCAACCTTAAAATCGATCACGCACTTTAGGGACATCGAATGTCCTTTATGAGGTGAACATGAGCTTGGAACTATAGAAATCCAAAATCATTACTACACACATCGCCATATCTAATAATCTCCAGTAAATACCCTCTCTTGCAGTGCCATGATGAAAGGCTTTGCGTATCTCTGTAAATTGCATCGCAATGCTGAAAAGAACACTGACATGTTCGCCTGTCAGGGTCACCCACGCAAAGATAGAATAACAATGCTGAAGGGAACACGCGGATTTAGGGCCATCGCACGAATTGTCGAAATAATGTCACTAGATAAAAGGACATCGTAGGATCTATTTCTAACCACTTAACGAAACAAGACGGTCTTGTTTGGACGTTTAATGAAATGCACAAAAAGTGGAATATAAACCACCGTGTGTGAATGAACGAAAAGAACTGTTATAGAAATAGTCAATTCAAGAAGCGGAAACGTATTAAAACGGCTCTGAGTATTTTCTTGCTATTTATATACGGAATAGCAAAATTCATATACAAGTTAGATTCTTTTCATTCTACTAGCTAAGAAACATGAATTTATTCAATGGAGCAGAAAAACAGAATCTGCTGACTGAGTATCAAGTATAAAATACACGATCTACTTGCCAAACTCATAACCGGGCTGAAATCAACAATCAGCAAGGTAACAAACTGTATTAAGGAAGAAATAACATTTTTGTCAAAGACGAAACTTAGATAACTTTGGAAAGGTATTCGTTTATTAGCACGACAATAAAAACTATCATGATATTTATTATTGTCATCAACGAACGATGTCGTAAACTTGAAAAAACTTTGTATTTAAGAAGCATTTATTTAAGGGTATGCTACCATTTATTACATTAATCTGTGATATATAATATAAAGGAAGTGAACATGCGGTAGAATAACAACGAGCACTGTCACCTGTACGTGCCAGATTTTTTTCTCGTTAACAATCATTGTTTCTGAAGTGTCGCAATAGAGAAAAACAAGTAAAAAACATCGCTACCTGAGGGTTAATGTGCTTGACGACGGGAAACAAGTTGAGCACGTCATCTTCAGAGAACGGCGGCCGAGTCTTGCTTTCCATCGCGTACTCCTTCAAGACCAGTTGCACGCCGTTCATTATGCAAAAACGTCTGAAAAGCGAAACTCGTTGAACACCGAAACTGTCGTACAGGCTATCGATGGTATCGCTGAAAATGTGAACAAGTGAACAATACAAAAACGAAGGCGAAGAACAAGCGAGACTAGGAGCTTACCATTCGATAGAGCAACCGAAATAACTGCGCATGTCTTGACGGATTTGTTGCCACAAAACCTTTGGCGTCAAATGCAACCACTCTGCAGCATGATCTGCACGTAGCATTGCACGGAGTAAACAACAATCATACGACTTACCTTGTGAAAACAGTTGCGTGTAACCCCGGCGCTTTCGTGAGCGCTTTTTCAACGCCGGATCTTCGCCGTTTATCGCCTGAGGCGAAGGAAATGAACCCAAGAGACAGTTGAGGAAATGGGCGACGGCTGACGACAACCATGACTGCTCGACGCCTTGCAAATACGAACGGAAAACGTGTTTGCTCGACCGACATATCACTTCTGAGTATAATATAACCTTAAGACGAGCACTGTGAAACGACGACGCTAGGATAGACAAGCAACTGAACCTTCAGATATTCAAGCACCACCAGGCCCTCCACTTTCTCTAAAATCTTTCCCAAGTATCGCATGTTGATTCCCCTAAAGCATGTAGCAGTCAAACTTGATTCAACAACGAATACATCAAAGCAACGCAATACCTAGAATGCAAAGCAGACGTTAGGCTGATTCCGTCAAGAGGAATAAAAGAGTGATTAAGGCAGTCGCCGATCTGAAACGAGAGCTAAAATAAAAGAAGAAGCATCGCAGAGAAATTACGAAATTAGGAATCTGTGAGGTAAGCAAAAACTCGGCGGCATCCTTCACCACTTGCTGTTGCGCTTGCAGATTTTCATCCTAAAAAGTGTACACGCATCAAAACCACAAGACAAGAAAGAGATAAACGAAAAACCATAATGGAAAAGAATCAGAATTAAGGAATGTATTCTATCAGCGTGGTGCTAGCGATGAACATCAACCTTACTTAAAGACATGAGATAGAGGATGTAAGGCTGAACAACTGGAATAATCTGCCGTTTTTAAATTGCATGAACTCTATGCCTCTTTTGAAGGGGACAGATTACGATTAATATTCTACATAAATTCGAACCAGTGACGTCGCATGCAGCCTAACGATGCTAATACACGAGGTATCGGTATTAAAAAACTTTTGGAGTAAAACAATAATTAAGCCTGCATTTGAAACACTGATTTTGTTGTCCACGTATTCGAAAATGACTACCAAGGATGAGAGGTAAAAAGCAATGGAACCGTGGTCGGTTCGCAAGGGCACCGCATATCTATGTAAGAAAAAAGCAACGACACCGGTTCAAATCAATCAACTACTTTGTTGATTCATATCACACTGAACAAGTTAATAAAGTTGGTGATCCGCACCGTCTGCGGTTCTGTACCGCTTCAGTTAAACGTTTGTTTTGGAAGTAGACAACGTTCTTCGAAGAAAAGTTAAATATTAAAAAAAGAACGCACATGAACTTTAACCTGCATTTTTACTCACGAGCGTAGCGAAGACCATTACGAAAACGATGATGATCATGATATTCACCATAATATGTGACATACTTGTGGTCATACTCAGACCTACCGTCTAGAAGACCGAAACTGGTATCAGCTTCTAGAGGTATGATCATAGAGATAAAGATCATGATTTAAATGAACTGTCAAGTCACAGCAACGAATACAATTATACCGCAGTGAACATGACGAAACAATTGTAAATACTCTTACGTCAGAATGAGTGACCGTTGAAGAATAGCAATCGGGGTTAAAGCGAATGTCAAACTCTGAAAAGTTCAGCTTGTAAAAAATAATGACTACGAGGAAGAACGACAAAACCTGTTTCGGATAAGGATCCAGCCGCTTGGGAGGCACGCCGCACAACTTCCCGGGTGGCCAATTCAACTGCAAGAAAACGACGCTTGCCATTAAGCAAGAAAAGCAAGACGCCGCAAAACAATTACTTCCGTTCTCTTTGTCTCTATACAACTGAACGATGTCCGTTACGTCGCTGTAGCAGTTCATCTCGGGGAGCGCGTCGTTCAGCGACGAAGATTTTGACCCGTCCAGAAAACTCAATTCCAAATTGCCCAGGGCGGCAGCTTTCGAAACGGCAGATGGCGCAAATAGCTGTGATGATGCCTTCAAGCTTGACATCAAAACCGATGACAACAGTTCGTTCACAATCTCTCCGTTCACGACCGTCGTTGCTTTCGTACCATCGATCGACTCGAAACGTTCATCACCGATAGCGTTATTATCGAAACCGTTGACTCCCACATTCTTGCTACTGCCTGACATGTTTTTCACAGGACTGATTACTTCTGCACTATTCTAAACGCGTAATTTTACATACATACATACGACGTTGTTAGTACGACAGAAACACACAATGTTGTCTTTGACTACAATAATATGGCTTAACATAACAAACGTTTGCGAATATCGTTCCTAAGCGAAATGGTCGGTTAACGAGGCAACGACAACCGTAAGTTCACAAAATTTTAAAAACTCAGACAAATATGTGAAAAAAAATCAGAATACGAATGTGGCATGAAAAATAATCGATAGGTGAAGAAAGTAAGACGAGTTTATCGCTACTTTCAGCACAGAAGGTAATTTAGCTGGTCAGTTGGAAGTACATAAATTACTGGATGGAAACATGAAGGGAGATTGATATCTAACAAAATTTTAGTGTAAATGCTTCTTGTACCCAAATGAGGCTTCCAACAAATGGGAGTTACATAGAAATTATAGAATTATATTATATAATCTGACCTTAAACAGAAAACAGTCTCGTGGAGCTGAGAAACTCACCCGATTTAAATCGACTGCTAAAGCAAACTTCTGACGCGCAAAGTTTCTAATGAAAAGGGCTTAGCAAAACCAAGAATGCAGCGATACCTTCATATCACCGTCGTTGTTGACCCTCAGTTTCTGGAGGTAAGAAGCTGCCATCTTTACGAACGCGATGTAACGATATCTGAAAGCAGAAAAAAGGTATGGTTCTGTATATGAGGAGTGGCATTATTTAACGGCTTACTCAAGAAACGCGTCGATCAGTTCTTGACGCAGAGAACACAACTTGTGTGGATGAGTTCGTGGATATCCGTTCTTCCTCGAAATTTCATTTACGTCGGCTTCTAAGAAAATCAAAATAACAGTCTGAACGGTGCCGACAGTTCCTAATGCTAATGACAGAGGAAACATTAATATTTCATTGTAAATGCAATTTAATTAATCAAACTTATCGCTTACTTTAAATAATTTTTCGTGCACACGGGATTGATGGCAAGTTGCTAAGGGCCATCCAATCACTGTATTTTGATAGCAGGTGCTGTGTCAGAGCTAATGGCGTTAAGTCGAAATCATGCAGTGTTCGCACTGGTCTCCGCCAGGGCTGCGTCCTGTTCCTTATCCTGTTTGTGTTGTACATGGACAGAATAGTCAGGAGCTGCCAAGGCTATGAGGGTATCGGTATAGGAGAAGTTAAGTCGAGAAGGTTGCTGTTTGCAGACGACCTTGTTTTATTAGCATCTTCTGAAACTGATCTCCAGT